TAGAGTTTAAAATTTTTATTTATCTGCCATCATCTTCGAGTTTTGCGAGGTGCGAGACGACTTAAAAATATTTTCTAATATATATATATGAATTTTACATATAATTTATCACAGTAAGTGCAAAGTTTGAACCTTTTATGTTATATATGTATATAAATTTACGTAGAATATTGAAATAATAAAATAGATAATTATATATACCGTATCGGTACATATTTACAGAATTACAGGCCAAAATAAATTTCTTAAATTTCTAACATTTCTTTTAATTAAAGTAGATAAAATGAACCTTCATAAACAATTTCATGACAATGGGTGTGCAAAATTACATTAGAAAACGTATCGCTATCCTGCTTTTATTAATTTCATAAATAATTTTTTAATTTTCTTGTCCGGAAGATGCTAACTCTTGAACCTTGGTTATACGCTTAGCCCCCCGATTTGGTGGACCCTTGGGTTTAGCAAATTTCGGCTGATGTAAACTTATTTTTGGATGCAATTCCTCTTGAAAAAATTCTTCGGTAAGTTCCTCTCCAGCAGCTATTTCAAGCTATACAATCAAGTTTTAAAGAATAAATTATGATATGAAATTAAAACTTGGAAAGTAAATAATGTATATACATATATTAACAAAAGCATATAACTATGCACAAGATATTTACAACTGGGGAAATAAAATCGAAAAGAAGATAAGTATTAAGTTATATTCATATATATATATATATATATATATATATATATATATATATAGTTATAGATCACATGACAGGCCTATTCTGCAAATTGTAACAAAACATACTTTCAAATCTTAAAAATAATTACATACCTATTTAAGAAGTGTATCGCCAAGTCGTCCTTAGCAATAGCAATATATACATACCTAAGTTGGTCCTTAATAACAATACATGTATCTATTAGATACATATGATACATATGTATAATAACACTGGATGTAATATAAAAAAACACCAAATTGTGAGTTTAAATCGCATGATGCTTTATTATTTTCTGATATATTCAATATCGGCAAGATATACAATTTTCTTGATTTTAATGAGTCTATAGATATATAACTGAAAAAGTCCAGAGCTATAAGATAAAACTAACGAGTTACAGAATAGGCCTGATATGACACTTAACTAAAATATTCTAAACACATTTTGGGTCATATATTTTAAAAATAGAATACGTATGTTTAATGTTTAGTTTCCAGTATAGGACAACAATTATATTTATGTATTTATGCGAATATGAGCCAAATATTGTCTTTTTTCCTTTACTGTTTTAGTACTTTTAAATAGAATCATGAATTAAAGTATAAAAACAATAATATAATAATTAAGATTGAAAATTCTTTTAAAACTATATAAAAAACGATATTAATAATGAAAAGAGTAAAAGTTACTGTAGAAGGAAGAATAACAAGAATCTGGCTCACAAATTATTTTCACAGCAAATAGACCCAACTATTTTTTTTCGTACGCGTATTTTCGATTAAAATATTTAAAAAGTTTATAAAAAGCTACAAGTATTAAAAAAATACAGATCACAAAAAATAGAATGCCTCTCGTATAATTTGTTGCTGGTTATCAAATTGTAGTCCTATCTGCTGTAAATTGGCATGTTCGCTTAAAAATGTGAAAAAAATTGTCTCAATATAGGCCATGTATACTCTATAATTTACATAAATTATTTTAATTAATAAATATATAAAATAATGGATAATATATAAAATAATGGATCTTTCTCAATTATCTAGAATGACATGGCTTCTCAAGATCAATATAAGAATGATAACAGATGATTAAATCGATTTTGTCTTGGCAGTTCATAAAATTTTACATGTATTAAAACAGCTGATAGGACTCGCCAAGATTCAGTCTTCATATCACACACATATTTATAGAATCTAATATTTTGTAGCATTTACAATAGTGTATAGAACACGATATAAAATTTTATATGGAAAGTAACTAATGTTATCACTATATCACTATATCTTGTAGCTGAAATAATAATGTGCAAAAAAAATATATCCACATTAACGTGGCGTTTGCATATTTATCACTCGTCCACTACATTATTATTATTATATTGAAAATATATAGAGAAGTTAGGCGAATGACTTTAGTTCTTTTCCTCTTTCCTTCCTTCTATTTACTTATTTAGAGCATAACTGTAAATTTTCCTAACTCTCTATTCATCACATATGATATACGCAAATTTACCACAGATCAATTATTAAAAATATTATATTACCAAGTTCTATATAAACATTTGAATGAACTTAAAAGCTAAGCCTCTAAATTTCACTTAAAAGATACTTAAAAAGACATATCACTTTTATAAGACTAGGAACTAATTCAATACTTAGAGCAATATTTATTTATAAAGAAATATTTTTTTCTAAGAAAATATATTTTTACGTATAGGAATATTACATGTAGAAATATATATGTATGTGTATATGTATATATAAAGTTATTGGAATGAAGAGGAACTTTGTAAAAATCGAATGTATTAAGTTTGTATATAACTATAGATTATATACATATAATTAATATCATATCACATAATATATTCACATACTAAAAGTAAAAATCGGAACGTGAGGCTTAGCTTTTAACATCAAACAAAAATAATCTAATTTCATTTCGGCACTATTATTAAAATTAGTGCAATGTCATATTAAATGAATAACAGTATATATAGAAATAACATAAACTGTATGAGGGTTGTCTTATAGGCATGTTACACTTATTATTAATAAGTATAATGGCGTTTTGCAGAAAGCCTTCCACATGACAATTTTGTTTTTAAAATTTAGAAAAATACACCATTTGGTCTACTCTGTTTTGCTACTTAGATTTATGTATCACTTTGATAAATTAACTTTAAATGCTGATAAACAATTTTTTTGCATGATACATTTTCTGTTGCTTGTAAATTAATTCGTAACATATATACATATATATATATATATATATATATATATATATATATGTGTGTGTGTGTGTGTGTGTGTATATATGTATGTATGTATGTATGTATAACTAGATAATTGTAATTTGCTCTAATATGAAACATTAGAAACTCATCACTTTATTTTAAATGACATATTCTATGTCAATATCATACTATCACAATTCTGGAATTCATGAAGGAAGATATCTGATGCACAAAACATCACAAACATTTCAATTAGCAAGAAGCAATAATAATGGTAAAGACAAATGCTTTAAGCTGGTTTTAGCTTAAGACACAAGACCGTTTCTGTTTTGATTTTTTCTCTGGTATGGATTGAGGGGCACAAGGTGTTGACGGAGTTGCAGGGGTTATCGCAGCTGTATCTATTATGCTTGGAGGATCTTCCAACATATCTGCCAACTCCTCTCCACTATTTACTTCCAACTAGGATCGCAGTTATATAATATATACATGTGTATACATGTCAAAAATATTTTAGCACAGGAGATAATAAAAAATAGTAATATGTAGCAACATTAGATATTTGGAAAAGCAACAATCATATATATATATATATATTGGCCAGACTACGCTAGTGATTGCAATTATTATTACGAGCAGAATACAGTACAAAAGAAAATACATATAAATATCGTTATTTGAGGCAAACTTTACAAACAAATTTTAGAAGAAAAACAAGTTGAAACATATAATCTTTAAACTTAAAATAATTGATATAGATAAAGATATTTAAATAATAAAGTGAGCCAGAGCCAATATAGTAAATACGATGATATATTAATGAATTATTAAAATTTTAAATATACTAACCTTTTTTGTTATAGTTACCCCTAAAGACTGGATAAGATCGAGCAGAGGTGCTTTGCAAGAGGAATATAACATCCTTTCTTTAATACTGCAACTATATCCTGGCATGCTATATATGAAAACTGAAAAAAAATTACTCATTACTAATCATATAAAATTGTAATATATTACTTTTCATCTGTTTACCTATGCTTTCTGTATAATCTCCTTCATGAGTGTGTTTAAAATTATAAAGATGATATCTAGCAGCATCGGATGGAACTTTCGTAGGTAATTTATCCAATGAAACATCACAAGCTGTAACTAAATGTATTTTTTCCTCTTCCAATTCAATTTTCAATTGAACATATTCGTGAATCCTTTTACCCAATTCTACGATGGCTTGCTTGGCTTCTTCCGTTACTGGAAATGCCACGCCGCTCAATGTCTGATGTCTTGTTTCAACACTATAGTCTGTAGTTGCAGTAGTTTTCTTTAATTCAGCTAATTCTTCCTCAGCTGTTGTCAATGGTACAGGTGCTGTATCGTTTCTCTTATGTTTATGATAGCCATCTAGAGTAATGTCTTCTGGGACAGTTCCATGTAATTCCTCCTTTATCGAGGCTGTACCAAATTCCTGTTTCAATGTAGCTTTAGTAGAGGCATAAAGCATTTTCTGTCGTACCGGTGCTGTATCTGGAGACCAAGATATGAGTAACCAATCATATCCAGAATCTGGAGATTTTGAGTCGAGTCTGTAAAGAATATAAGCAGGCTGATTTTCCACAATCAGCGGCTTAATCATTTTATCATAATCGTCTTGCCATTTGTTATTTGGTTTCATGCTAGATGCTGGAGTCAATTCCTCTAGAAAATGGAAAAGCAAATATATCAACGGTACTATCTTTTTGCTTTGATTTATAAAATCTTGGCAGAATAAACGTATGCTATTATAAGATTCAATAAATAAAAAAAAATTTGTTGCAATTCGTAACGTACCATTCTCTATCGAAATCTTTAGTACTCGTATCTTCCCGTCACGGCATTTCGCAAATAATTTCTTCAATGCATCATTGGCTGAAATGAGTCAAGCATTATATCGTTAACAAAAGATTGACTCATTAAGGTCGAAAAGGTTTTTATCGATTCGTTGTAATTAATCTTCTCCGTGGCGAAGTATTGCGCTACGCGAAATGAGAATGAACAAAAAATTACCTTTTATTCCCGTTTGATGTGACATTATTTCGCGAGAAACGCGAAAACCTCGTTGCTATCTGTCGTTATCTGTTGCTACCTGCCGTTACGTCAGAATATGTCCGTCGAGTTATTTTTTCCTATCTGCCAAAGTTTTGTCGAGAGGAACCACTCGATTGTGTGTGCCAAGTATTAGGCCGAGACACACAAATTGTTCGAGCGATAAGCGACGAGCGAGTACAACCAATCACAATCGTGTATTTCAAGAAAGTGACTCAGGTGAAGAAAAGTGCTCGATTACGATTGGTCGACAAGCTTATCCCTTACGTATCGTGTACACCCAGCTGTATAAGTTAAGTATGCAATGATATTATCCGATTATAAGGAAAGCACAGCCAATATCAATTGTAGAATTTTGACACGACCAATCGTAATGTTTGATATTTGATGTCAACGTTTATTTAAAAATTTCTGTGGCACGATTTCTACAAGAAATATCTCACTATTAGCAATTTTAGGCATATAATAGACATAATAGATGAATTAACGTTTGTTTGTATATTCGTATTTTGCGGACAAAAAGATTGTAACATTTTTTTTCGACGAGTCTTGGAACACAAGTTTTGAAAGTGCACACCCTACTCTGTTTACCGAATTTCTGAATTGCGCAGAGATCAGCGCAGCCAGTGCAGACTGCGTGGTGGATTGTCGTGTGACAGCTGTCGAGAAAGGAGAGAAGGGATAGAAAGAATATCGAATGTAGAAAGGAATTTATAGGGATTTATAGATCCTCCGCATTTTCAGATAATCAGAACTCGATGTGTCGCTCGAGAACTATCGAAGGATCTTTGTCTCATCTATTAAATCTCTCCGAACGTCTGAAATACCGAGTCACACGTTGAACACACGTCCGAACGCTCAAGTCATCTCGCGCTAACGCGTCTGCTAATGTTCGCGTTATTGCGCACGCGTGAAATTTGTCTGTCCATCTGGGAGCACTGGACATACTCCGACTTCCGACGGCGGATACAGCGAGATCTATACGTCAAGAGGTACGAGCGGCCTGGAGCGGCCGTATATTTTGAAGGAATTTCCACTTTAACCTCTCGTCGGAGCTGGACTTGATCGCACGGGACTCAACATGCTGGCCCTCATCAATCGAATCTTGGACTGGTTCAAGTCTCTCTTCTGGAAGGAAGAGATGGAACTCACTCTTGTCGGTCTGCAGTACAGTGGAAAGACTACGTTCGTGAATGTCATAGCGGTACGTGACTCATGGATCTCTTGTATTTATCGCGCGCGAATCGCCCTCGCAAACGTAGTGTCAAAGTGCTCCTTCTTATCCTCCCCCGCCTCCTCTCCCCTCCCTCCCCTCGTATCAACGAATCGTCGAGAGGATTCGGCACGTTTTGGTCGCGACGTTTTGGTTAGATTCGATAACCCCTTTGAAATAACTCCCGTTACCGTTAACGCATACATTGTCTCGTATACGCCCTTACATCAAGTGATTTAACATATGATTATCGAGACGTAATTACGACTGACTGTCAAATCGCTATTGCTTATTCTTCTCATCTCATCTCTTCATCTTTCTCTCCACGTTTCTCAATTTTTTTTTTTTTTTTTTTTTACAAAAATTCCATTGTCATCTCTCAAACATATAATAAATTTAATTGTTCTACGTCTAATTGTTTCTACGCTGCACAAGCAACCTTAGTTTTTTCCATAAATTAATAACAAATTAAAAAATAGATTTGTTTGATAAATTTGATTTCGTTCATATGATACATCAAGTTCATTGCGATGCAAACTTATGTTTCAGTATAAAAAATATAAGCTTTGCATTATCGGAATTATTCATGATGATTGTACGTGTCATTGTTTTTAAATATAGCTAACAAGGATAATGTTTTTCTTTGTATTTAGTCGGGACAGTTTAGCGAAGACATGATACCGACTGTAGGCTTTAACATGCGCAAAATAACCAAAGGAAATGTCACTATAAAAGTATGGGATATCGGTGGTCAACCAAGGTTCAGATCCATGTGGGAAAGATATTGCAGAGGAGTAAACGCCATAGTTTACATGGTAGATGCGGCAGATTCAGAGAAGATTGAGGCAAGTCGCAATGAATTACACAACTTGTTGGACAAGCCGCAATTGTCTGGGATACCAGTATTGGTTTTGGGTAATAAAAGGGATCTACCTCATGCATTGGATGAGAACGGACTCATCGAAAGAATGTAAGTTACACGCTTAGCTACAATGTAATATTTTGCATTGGCATCCTTTGTTCATCTTTACACGTGACAATGTATGTTTTAGGAATTTATCTGCAATTCAAGATCGTGAAATTTGTTGCTACAGTATTTCGTGTAAAGAAAAAGACAATATCGATATTACGTTACAGTGGCTCATAGCGCATTCGAAAAGTGGAGTTCGTTAATATTCTTAAAATATCCCATTTGTTAGTATCGGCGAGTCTTGGATACTGATAACAGTATTGGGATCAATCGTGAAACGAGCGCATTGAGCAAACTTTGTTCAAAACTGAATCATTATATTGTAGAAAACTACTTGAGCTTTAGCTGATCTAAGTTGGATGGTGCGGTTTGCCATGGTAAAATTTAAAAAAAATCATGCTTATATGCCAAGAATATGAAATGCTCGTGTGAATTATACCGTAAGGCACTCATTTCCCGCGAGCACATTAGAATAAGGAACAATTTTTTATATTTTCGTTTTAGATAAGTCCAAGAATATATTCCAATACTTAATAACGATTAAATATAATAATAGTATCTCTGTATTTTCTATGATTGCCGCTATTGTAAAGCTGAAATAATACCAACATAATCGCAGTTAATTATTGTGATATTATAGTATAGATGTCGATATTATGATTTTGTCTTGTACCCTCGAAAAATTGTACCAAATATTTCATGTATAAATTAGAAAAAATTGTAGCTATTACGAAATATACACGCGCAAAGATATCATTATTAATTATAAATAAATTATAGTACACTTTGAAAAACTTTAACAAATAAACTTTAACAAATAAAAATGATGTATTGCAAACGTTGCCGTTTGTTTTCCCTTTCAAGGAAATGATATCGATACTTGAATCGATACTATTCTTGTACTATTCTTATATAAAATTACATAAAAAAATGTGACAGTATTCGTTAAAAATAATAGGAAAAAAGATCGGATTTGATGATGATGATAATGGAGACAATAAAAAAAAAAAATTCAAGAAAAATCCAAAAAGTGCATCACGAGAATTATAAACTTTACTATAAATGTCTAACAGAATAATTAATTGCAATAAAATAGATGAATTTTATTTACTCTTCAGCAATATTATGAAGTTTAAACGCTCGCACTATTTTTTTTTTCTTATTTATTTTATAAATTGATTTTATTCATTTCTATCTATATATAAAGTTACATTTCCTTCATTTCCCTTTTTCTGCGAGTATCATGGGGTTCAAATTGCTTCTAACAAAATGAACCAATGGTTTTAAATAACTCGGTCCAATCAGTTTTATACTTCATTATAAAATTATATCACAAAAGTGAATTGTTTTATGAATCAAATATATTGAAATACTTCAATATTTATTTATATCAAATCCAAAGTACGTATTTTTTTTTAAATCGCGATAAAATTTTATTATAAACTATATAGGAAGGGGGAAGAGTTTTCACATGCAAATTGCTGAAGTTCCAACTAAACTTCGTTTATACGACTATAGTATTTCATTTTCTAGGTGTTCATTACAGCCAATTTTTGTTATATTTATTAATTATATGACTCACTCTTCTAATAAAGTGGTCACAATAAGATGTATTAAATTTTCTGCAAAAATCAGTTACATATTACAACAGAAAAGATCGTGTCCTCGAGATCTTGTCAACGATTTGCGGATACATGTGTACATGGTAAAGATAGAAACGATTATCGCGTCTCCTACTTTATGAATACGTTATAATACAGAATCATGGATGGAATGATACGTTTCCATCTTTCAGGGACAGAAAATATGCTCACATACATACAGTTACATGTATGATTTAAGATCTAAAAGTCAAATATTATATAGAAGAATAGAGAAATGAATAATTTTATGCAAAATAATAATAATAAAAAAATACAGGTGATATTAAGAAACATAATATAAATGTGAAAATATAGTAGACCGATATTCTTTATGGAATTTAGAAAAATGATACATTTGTTTATCAAATTCGACTAAGAATACCGCTCTATTATAATTTTTTGAGGTGAGGGGGAGTGTGTTCATACAGAACATTCTGTACAACCGGAAAATATTTTAATGATAGATTTTTCCAATAATTTAAAATTAATGTTCCTGCACTGAAAACATCAAAAAATGAATATCCTTATTGCCCGTTCAAGATTTATTGAATTTTATTATATATGACCCATAAATGTAATTAGTACTGAACAGTTTTATTTCTCAAGTTTTTCTCGCATTAATCGCAAGTAGATTTTAGCAAAATTTAGCATTTAATTTTGAAGATATTTGATATCGAAAAATCAAATATTATTATAAATAAAAACAATTTATAATTTTTGCTAAAAAAATCAGTTTCAAATCTATCTATCTTTCAAATACTTTCCAGTGATGCTGATGTTTTGTATTATTATCCAGATATCGGCTTCATATTAACTCATTAAAGTCCAATTATAATCTTAGCATAGTTTCTATTTGGTTTTTAACTATTTTGGAAATCATAGATGAGGCTTTCATGTAAAGCATATTGCTATATTGTAAAATATTATTTTGGTTTATATGCAATGTATCAAGATGAGAGTCGATTTACTTAGAGATTACAGAAAAGTATGAATTTTAATGAGTTAATCTCTTCAATTTGTTGTACATCTATCATAATTTTTTGTTTAATTACTGTATGTTACATTTGAATATTCATAAAATACAATTGCATCTATATACATATATGTATATATGCATTTTTTCATAAGCTATATCTACATATATATGCATACATGCCATTTATTTACATAAATTCGAAAAGAAGATAGAAGACCATATGCTTTTTCTCTCCCTTTTTCCTTTTTCTGAAAACAAAGACGGTGAAACTTTGAATTTAATTATACATATATGAATAATATACTTTACAAATCTACGTCATACTTGCATGAAATGATACATATTTTTCTCATACTTATGTAATATTCTTATGTAATAACTAACTATATTATTAATAATCCAAAATTCATTGATTTTGATCCTTTTGGCTATTAGATCTACATAGTGTATCCGCACTTCGTATACATTTACACGAAGATATTGCCACATAATCGATAAGCTATAATAAATTGATGATAAACTTCCTATTAATACAATCTCTTTTGTTGCGCATTATGTTCCGCCGAACAAAATAATTAGAAATTTGTTAATTTATAAATTATTATATCGGGTGTCCATGTATACAGAACTGAGGAGAAATGGTCAATATAGCGTAACGAATTGGACTCTCAATTTTTCCTCGACAAAAATTTCGAGGAGTAACACTCTCGTATCTACCAAAAAAGAAGAAATCGATGTCACACTTTGAAGAAATTATGTTATGTCTCCACTTTTCGCCAATATCGGAATACTTTTTACACTTGATCTTATATTAATCATTGCACAGAATAATTTTACTATTTTATACAAGGTGACATAACTCTATATTTAAAATTTAATAGCACATTATGGATTATTCTATTATGACTAGTTTTACGCATCACTAGATTTCATTCAAGATTCGTTATATAAGAAAACTCGCAAAGCATCCGTGCTTAAATCAATCTT